GCGGGCGCCTGTAGTCCCAGCTACTCCGGAGGCTGAGGCAGGAGAATGGCGTAAACCCGGGAGGCGGAGCTTGCAGTGAGCTGAGATCCGGCCACTGCACTCCAGCCTGGGTGACAGAGCCAGACTCCATCTCAAAAAAAAAAAAAAAAAAAAAAAAAAGAAAATATCAGAAATCACCACTGATTAACTTATTCATGTAACCAAACACCACCTGTTCCCCAAAAATATATTGAAATACAAAATAAAGACAAAAGAGAAGTTACAAACAAAAATTACATTAATAACTGTCCTATATGTTTACTTTTGTAGGTAACTTTATCAGTGTTCTTTTATTCTTTGTGTGGATTCAATTTATTGTCTAGGATGTCTTCATCTTATCCTGAAGGCTTCCCTTCTTATGAGAAATGAGCTATAAATCTTATTGAGAATTGCTTATACATGAGGAGTTGCTTCTCTCTTGCTGCTTTTTAGATTCTCTCTTTGTCTTTATCTTTTGAAAGTTTAATTATGATATGTCTTGATGCAGATCTCTGAGTTTATTCTACTTGGAGTTTATTAAACTTCTTGGATGTGTAGATTTATGTCTTTCAACAGGTTTAGGAAGATTTTGGTCATTATTTATTCCAATATTCTTTCTGCCTCTTTCTCTCTACTCTTTATTGGATTCCCATTATGCATATATTGTTATGCTTAATGTCACACAGGTCTCTGAGGCTTCATGTCTTTTCTTTATTCTTTAATTTCTTTTCTTCTGGCTATGTAATCTCTATTGACATATCTTCAAATTTGCTTCTTTTCTTGCTCAAGTATGCTGTTAAGACTTTCTTTTGGCAAATTTTGTATTTCCATTATTGTACTTTTTAACCCCAGAATTTCTATTTGATTCTTTATAATTTACATGTCATTTTTAATATTCTCTGTTTCTTGAAACAGCATTATCCCTTCCTTGGACCTTTAGACATGGTTTTCTTTAGTTCTTTGAATATATTTAAAATAGCTGATTCAAAGTTTTTGTTGAGTAATCCCAATGTCTAAGCTTCCTCAGAGACAGTTCCTATCCCATGAATGAATAATATTTTCTTGTATCTTTGCATGTTTCATAATTTTGTATTTAAAACTAGGTATTTTAAATAATATAACGTGACAATTTTGGAAATATTTTTCCCCTCTTGAGGATTTGTTGTTGTTTGTTATAGGTATAGCTAACTGTTTCTTTAGTGCCTTTTCTGAACTAATTCTGTAAAGTCTCTATTCTTTGTCATGTATAGCCACTGAAGTCTGTCCTTAGTTAGCTTAGAAGTCAGCTAATAATTAGAGATTTCCTTAACTCCATGGAACCGGTAAGTCTTCCAGGTTTTGCCAGTGGACCCTGTGCAGGTTGGGACACACTTTCAATACTTAGCCAGGCAGTTGACAATATGACCTCATCTTAATTAATTACATCTTCAAAGACCATATTTCCAAATAAGGTCAAATTATGAGGTTCTGGGTAGACATGAATTTTGGGGCACAGAATTCAACCCAGGATAGAATCAAACAGACCTATGCAGGGGCCTTGGCCCCTTCCTAGCTGTGTGACCTCATAATTCTCATTCCCCCAGTAATAATGATGCCTAATTAGGGTGACAGTACCTCCCAGTGTGTCCCAGACAATCTTGCTGTCCTGAAAGAATTTTTAATTTTGTCCCCATTTACTTTCAAAAGTATTTCAGTTTGAATAATACATTAATAAAAGAAGCAGCATTTAGGATTAGGGTAAAGGCTTTCTGTAACATAGCATGTGAAGGCTGAGCCCACAAACAGTTAACAGCTGTAGCCACTACCCAAAAAGGTCCTTCCTGTGCAGTGTGGAAAGGAACATAAGTCAGGCACTGATTGGAGTTTTCAGCAATCACCCGGTGAACTGCAGCACCTTCAGCAGCTGCGAATATTAACTACACAGCAACAAGAAGTATATTTATGTTATTAGTTAAAGGGAGGCACTGAATTCCGTTCACCAATTTCTCCCCCAGCTTAGCACAGTCTTGAAAATAGTATGACTTTTAAAGTTTGGTGAATTCATGAAAGAATTATAAAGACCTTTCCTGCTTCAAAACCCACTGTACTCAAGTGTGGTGACTCTGGCTTTCCTGGATGGACAGATTCTAAATCAGTGATCCTTAGCGCCTGTTCCTTGAAACTTGTGCGTCCAAATCAATAGGGGGTTTGCCAAAAATGCAGTTTCCAAGGCCCCAACCCAGACCTATTGGATAGGAACATCTGGGATAGAGACCAGGAATTGGATTTTCATCTAATGCCCCCTGCAATTCTCATACACACTTGCATGCAGGAATGGCTGGGTAAGGTGCCCTTTAGGAAGCAGTTCTCCTGCAAGTAAAATTGAGGAAGTCAGCTCCAACAGCTAGAAATCAGAAGGAACTTCTGGGCTCTACTACACTGTTTTTATCTATTTATCACCAAAAGTGGATTTTAAAATAATCCTCCAAGACTCTTGACTACCATTTTTCTTATCAACTTAAATATTTAACTCTGTGAGGCTTTTTTTTTTTTTTTTTTTAGACGAAATCTCCCTCTGTCGCTCAGGCTGGAGTGCAGTGGCGTGATCTCAGCTCACTGCAAGCTCCGCCTCCCGGGTTCAAGCGATTCTCCTGCCTCAGCCTCCCGAGTAGCTGCGAGTACAAGTGCCTGCCACCATGCCCAGCTAACTTTTGTATTTTTAGTAGAGAAGGGGTTTCACCATGTTGGCCAGGATGGTCTTGATCTCTTCGTGATCCGTCCGCCTTGGCCTCCCAAAGTGCTGGGATTACAGAGGCATTGGATTTTTAAATCAACTAATGGAACAGTATTACATTTATCTGTGGCTCTAGAACTCTGCTATCCAATAAGGCAGCCACTAGCCACATTTAGCTATTTAAACTTAATCAACAGTAAATGAAATGAAAAATTCAGTTTCTCAGTCACACTAGCCAGGGGCCAAGTGCTCAGTAGACACAGGGCTGGCCCCCACATTGGCCAGTGCAGATACAGACCCTTTCCATCCCACAGCAGGACCTCTGGACAGCACTACGAACAGCCTGCCAACCATGGCCATACATCAGAATCACCTGTGGGCTTCCAAAACCCCCAGGTCTAGGCCACAGGCCCTAGACCAACTTAATCACAGCCTCTGGAATGGTACCCAGGACTTTTTAAAGGTTAGCTTGCACCAGAATCACCTGGAGAAAGTGTGAAAGCCGAGATTGCTGGGCTGTACCCAGCATTTTGGATTCAGTCTGGGTGAGAGCAACTTGGAGTTTTAGCAAGCTCCCAGGTGAGGCCAATGCCCCTAGTCCAGGGAGCACACTTTGCAGTCACCCTCTTAAGGTAAAGCTAAACCTTGAGTTCTGCCTCTGTGCCTATGGAGCACCTGATGGTCGCCTCTGGCCTTGCCCATTTCTCCTTCCCTGCAAGTTCAGCAGCGCAAGCAGGGAGTCCCCAGGCCATGCCCCCTGAGAAAAGGCTTCCGAAGGCCTGGAACTATTCAAGGTTGAGACCCAGCATCCAGTTAAAAGGAAGCTTCCCTTTTTCTTCCAGCTGTCCTTCAATCATTTTTTTCCTTTTCCATCATTCCCAAGCCCCTGGTTCTGTGGGGCCCATCACTGCTTCTCCACTTCTACTGTGAGCTTCAGAAATTACTGGGCACACGCAGGTTTGCCCCTTACAAATGCCTCCTGTGGACTCTTTGAGTCCCACAGTCCATTGAGTGTTCTTGGTTTTCTTCCTGGTCCCCAAGAGAATCAAACTAATGGATTTTCTCTAAAGATGGTGGCCCCAGCCTTTTGCAGCCTGAAACATCTGGAAGCCAGAGCCCCACTCCTGCATATTTGGCCCTAAAATGAGACTGGCCCAAAGGGATGCAACCACACAGCCTGTGATAGACTGTCTGAACCTAAATCAGCCCCAGAGCCGCTCCTCACATCACTGCTGGGTCCTATTGAAAGGATTACGCTAAAACAAGAATTCTCCCAACAGAAGGATTTCCTTCACTGCTGCACCTCCTTCCAGCTCATCTCATTTCAGTGTGGTCCTCTCTTCACTCCAAGCACACAGGGCGTGTGTGGAGTATGACCGCCCAGTCCTCACTTAGCCAGTATCGTCCAGTTTTTAAAACATGAAGGTTCTCAAACCTAGTCTTAATTTCTGTGCCTTAAGGAAATGAACGATAATCATTTCTCTATTTGAATTTGCTTAATTTCACTAATCTCTATATTTTCAGGGTTATTTTGAAGCAACAAATTTTACTATTTCTTAATATTTATTTTTTATTGGTGTGTTAAAGTACAAAATAAGTAAATCAAATCCTACCACAAACCCGAAAAGTTAATGGAATCATTGGAAATCATGTATTCAATTGGAGCTTAATGCTTCTGTCAGCCTCCGAAAACACTAGGCAGTGAAGGAGCAGCTCATGGGTCCTGTTCCAGCGATTTTTGTGATAATAATATCAAATAATAAAAAAATTAAAAACCATACAAAAGGATAACAATATAATCGTGTGGGTTTACCATCGGACATACTCGCCCATGGATTATTTCTTGAATTCTAGCCCTGAATGGAATTGATTTCATGGAATGGTAGAAAATGTTTATAAAATCTCTCCTCTGACTCTTGCGTTTAAATCAGACCGTGCTTTTCACCTATGTCCAGCAGCAAGAGAATCCTCCTACACTGGTGAAAAATCAAGGGCCTTGGAGCAGATTTTAGTTCGTCTTTCATTTCAAAGTACTCATTGGATATTTGCAAATTAAATCCCCTAATTTGGTGAGGACGCCCAGTTTCCCAAATAACAAGGCTTTTCCTTCTATTCTAACCAAGCGAGCCGGCCCTACCAAAGTCGGGGTGCGTGTTCTGGCTCCAGGCCTCTGAGCAGCCTGTCTCCCCACGCTGCAGCTTTTCAGTTAGGAAGGCAGAGAGAAGGAAAGAGAACTATTTCCAGTTCAATCACGAGCATGTCTACGCACCACTGAAGACAGACCTTTGTCCTGTTGCTTTCCAAACTTTAAGTGTGAATTTTTCTTCTTATGATCACTGGCGTGCTCTGTTATTCTGGAAAAAAGAAAAAGCCGTAAGCACCCTGAAGTGAGGCTTTCACCTGATACTAATTTTCTTCCTCGTTATAAAGGCTATTGTTTGTTTGAACAAAGAAATAGGAGCCATTGGTGGCTGTTTACATTATAGGAATGAGGGCAGCGATGGGGAAGGAGGAGGAGGGGACCTTTCCATTAATGAGCTGGGGACATTGATTATGGGGACACACTAAAGACTACAAGGGACACCTATATTTCTGCATTCTTTCCATGAGAGCAATATATGATCTTTATCATCTATTAAACACCACTCACATATTTCAGGTAGCTGTAGGTTGAGTGTTAACATCTAGATTAAACAAGCAGTTAAGAGTCTGATTTTTAACATAAAATAAGACAAGCCCTTGAACTCTAGGACCAGGCATGCCCTGTTATCTTGTCGTACCTGAACGAGCCTGTGTTGGGCACCCCAGGCCTCTGGGCACATCTGTTGACGAGGGGTATCAGGCTCAACCCACTCGAGGAGCGGGGGGCTTTTGGGAGGTGGCAGCCTCCTATACAAAACGGGCTGCCAGTAAATATTTATGGAACAAAGAAATGAATGAATTTCTCTTGAATTAAACATGATGCATTTGTACAGAGCATAGTTCACTTTCATTTCAGTGACCCGAAATCCTGCTGAAAGTGTTCTTCCAAAACCTCAGAACAGGAAAGCTTCCTGCGCGTGGAAACTCCCTGGAGACACCTCCAATCGGAGGAAGCAGCACAATTATCTGCACACTCATAGCCTTGCAGTCAGAGTATTTTTATTGAAAAAAAAAGCCATCTGTTTGAATAGGAAACGATGATATCATGTGGCCTGCTTTCTCCTGCCACCCACTAATTTGACATCAGATCAGATCAGAGGAAAAGTTACTCGAGTCAGAAGTTTTAAAAAAAAATCTTTTGGGAACAAACTCATAAATGGAAGAAAGGGGAGAGTAACAAATGCAGACTGAATACATGGCAGGTCCAGGCTTTTACTATCATTGCTTTTAGCTCGCCAGGTAATCAAAGCATAAAACAAACGGTGATTGGTCAGAGCTTATGCTGTTGTCCCTGAACCAGCAAGAGTGGGGTGGGGGAGGGTTGCCGGACTAATTCGCTTCATGTGGGAATCGGTGTTTACCACGTAAGGGTCCTAATAGAAAGCGCATGATTTTCAAACTGGAAAACATAAATAACGCGTGTTGCCACTAAAGCCGTGGAACCTTGCCGTATTTCTCTTCTGAATAGAACAACCTACATTTCAAAGGACAGTTTCCTTCCACATGTAAATATTTATTTGCTTGCTGCTGAGGAGTGTCAGGAAGTACTAAAGCACCCGTGTTTAGAGTTTCAGAAGCAAATTGCTTCTGCACACGTCTTGATTCTGTTGAGCTCTCCGCCTCTACGTCACGGCTTCATTAATCTTTTCTCTGTTTTAAAAAATAGAAAAGCTTTTCATTTACTGCTTCTAGGAAGCCAGGTGCATTGCAGTGGATCTCTTCGGCAGGATCACTGCTTTGTATGAATATTTAGTATGTAATTATTGAGCACCTACCATGTGCAGGGCAAGGCGGGGGGGCACCCAGGCGTCCACTCTCCCGCAGAAGTCCTGGGTCCCAAGCCTGCATCTTTGGGGCCACCTTCAACTGGGAGGGTGTTGGCTTTTCTATGACACAGAGAGGCTTAAATCCCTCAGTGATTTCAAAACCTCCTCTGGGAGTCCAAACTGCTAGGTTGCCAGCCAGGAAGAGAAAGTTCCCAGGATTTTCAGTGGCTGAAGTTCTGGGCAAACAGCATTTGCACAAAGGAGGGGGCGAGGAAGGGGTGCAGGGAGGGCTCTCAAAGTGCCTGTTCGGCATCAGTTTACAAGTGTGCTTAGGTTGTATTTAGATGTTACGACGATTTTAAAAGTGAAATTTTGGCATTTTGCATTCAATCCCGACTAAAGCTCTTTGGTATATCGACTTAAAAGGTCTTCAGATTGCCAAGATTTTGCAGCTTGGATAACATCTTTGGAAAGGTTAAATGAGTCCATTTTCTGGAGCTTTCGTCAGCACAAGCCCATGATTCTCTGCCCTGCTGAGAAAGGAGGAGGCGAGCTGAGTTCCAGCCGATCCCCTGCTTCCGTCTCCCTGGGGCGAGCCTGTGTCTTCCGTCCCAGGAAGCCCTCCGCCGAGAAGCTGCCGCGGCTCCATGCATTTTCACTTGGGCGCTTCGTTTCGTGGGAAGAAGGCCGGACGACCTCTGTTGGTGTGGCCACTGCCTTTCAAGACAATTTAGCAATAAAGGAAAGGAGAACTCCAAACAGGAGCCCAGGCCTGCAGCAGAGGGCGCGCCTGGCCCCAGAGCAAACACAAAGACCAGACGCAAACTGGTGGGGAACCGGACCCGCTCCCCAGCACGTGGGGGGCGGCGGGGAGCTGCAGTGAGCTCCGGGGAGGGGCTGGCGGTGTGCACGCCCGGCCTGCCTCCTGAGATGGCGAGACACGCTTCTTCCCCAAGGTGCTTTCCATTCTGTGCCTGTCGGTGCGAACACGTCCCTGAGCCCACGGACAGGGGCCCTCCCCAGCACCTGCGTGGCATCCGAGGGTGGCAGGCAGCCCCGGGCCCTTCCACTTCAGGCCGGCCCGCGGGAAAGCCCGCCAGCTCCTCTCCCAGCTGAACGGGGCCTTCCCTTTTCATCTCACTTCCTCTCCCTCCCCGCCCCCCGCCCCACACTCACAATTGGTGACCTCCTTCCAACTGCTGTGAAGTGACTTGGGTGAAACTGGAGCCAGGGGCGGAGGAACAGCCCCCTCCTGTTCCCAGGAACTCGCAGGCACAGCGCTCCTCGCAGGCTGCTAGCTTTTGTTTTTAAGAAGCACCGTCTATTTTCCCTAGCACAGGCCGCACTCAAGTTCAGGGCATAAAGAAATTGCCGAGCTGCCTGTCACTTTCATGTCAGGGCATTCTTTCTACGTAGCGCCATGTGGACGACCGAGATCTCCCAATAGCTAAGCCAGACCCACTCCTCCCACAGTATGTGTGTGCCCCTCCCAGACATTTATGTGCCCACATCTGCAGTCTGTCGTTCTAAGGCTGGTAGAAAATATCAGAGCACGTTTGGTCAAATGGCTAGAACAGACCTGCTAAGCCGGAGGAGAGAACCTCATTAATCTACAGAATGTTCTCAGCTCACCAGGGTGTTGGGCAACAGGAACGTCCCAGGCCCTCCAAGGCCGAGGGAGAACAACAAGCGGCCTGTGATTCAGTCCGGGTTCACACAGTTGTAAGCAGCTTCTCTGTAACCACCGAGACACGAGTCCTCCCACACAGGCCGCACCTGAGCCAGCAGCAGCTGCTGGTAGTCTCAGAAGGCCTTATCACCTGGTCATGTGGCCTGAGCGTCAGGGTATTTCAACCGCATTTTTACTTTCCCTGCCATGTAATCAAGTCTTTCCAAACCTTTAGGGGTTAGGTGGGGGGGGGGAAAAAATCAAAGCCAAGTTTTGCATTACATTTCCTGTGTATTTTCAACCCATTACAGCAGAAACCCAGGAGAGGAGAGAAATAAAATTAGGAGTGGACTTCTCTGGTATTTTTTCCCGTGCCCCAGTGAGCCCACGACTTCCTCCTCCTTCCCACCAGAGTCGGGAAAGTTCCCAATACTGTGATTATGATATACTATATTGGATACATTTTCTTTTCTTTTTTTAAGATAAAAGTTTTATTTCAGAGAGAAGCACAAAGCCCTGACTGTTGTGAACAAGGAGGCCTTCAAGAGGAAACAAAATGCATCAGCTTTTGATTAAGAAGAGGACACCGTGGTCCCAGCCTCGACCTCTCCTCTCCCTGGCCCCAGCCCATGGATTCTCACGACCCTGGCAGACGGCTCCTGGAGGCTCCTCCAGTCACATTCCTGCTGCCTCCCTGTCAGGCCCTGCTACTCTTATTACATCATCTCCAGATCCTAAGCCTCCCTCCCCCATGCTGGATCAGTTTACCTCTGGATTCCCAGTTCGGCCATTGCCATGAGGTTCTTCCTTCCTCCCTCCCTCACGCCACGGCCCCTTGACCTCCCTCCATTCTGACTTCGGTAATCACCAACTCTGAGTGACTGCATTCAAACGTCATTTATTCAATGTGCATTAAATGCCCATTGTGTGTGTGCCAAGTACAGTCCCCACACTTGGGGTGCACCAGGCAAAAGGAGAGCCCCGGGCTCATCATCACAGGTTTCTGATGGCCACTTCTCGAGTTGGCTCTCAGGTGGCATTGCCAGCCTTCGTGACAGGGGTTCCCGGGGTTCCTGCACATCCATGCTTCCAACTCCAGGAAGACCCACCTCAGCTGGACAAGCGCCTCGTTCCGCACCTGTGGACTCCACAGTCCCACTGAGACGCCAGTTATCCCCAGTTCTCTCCAGAATGAGGCAGAGTTCAGGGAAACCACAGGAGTCAAGTTGACCCCGGTCTTTCTGCACCCCTCTCCACCCACGACCCTCTCTCGATTGCATTTTTAATCTCCTCCTACGAATCCCTTTTTTTAGTCCCACAACACAAGCTCACCTCTCCATGCCTTAATAGACAACCCAACCAAGAAACAATAGAAAAGAGCCCTCTGTTTTCGCTTCCCACCATCACATTGAAAGGAATAGTTCCCACTCTTCTTGCCTCCTCCTGACTCTTAGATCCGTATAATCTGACATCCAGCTGAAACCTTCTGCCGTTATACATAATTGCTTTTTCAAAGATTATAGGACCAAATGACCCACGTTTATTTTAAATTTGGGTTTAGTATTCAATCACCGAGTCACTCTGTCCGCCCTCACAACTCCTGTCCATACCAAGGACCTGCATCTGAACTGTCACCACTTTGGTAGAGGTCATGAGAGGAGATGCCTGGGGCTGGATGTCCTAACCCGGGAGGAAATGCCAAGTACCTCCGACGGGGCAGAGGCAGAGGTGGGTTTAAATCCAAGTATAAAACCAGATTTTTAGCATCTAGGACCCCAAACCACACAAGTCCAGGTCTACTGTTATCCATTGTTGCATAACGCTCACCCAACCTTTACAGCTTAGACAACAATCAACACAGGTTATCTCACACAGTTTCTGCGGGCTGGGATTCAGGAGCACCTCAGTGGGGTGGTGCTGGCTCAGGGTCTCCCAGGAGACCACAGGCATGGTGTGGGTCAGGCTGAGGGCCTGAGGGTGACTTCCAGGCCGGCTCCGCCTCACCTGGGGTCTCAAAGGGCTGCCCCTCTGCCCTCAGGACACAGTGCTATCTTACTCGAGAATGGGAGATCAGACGACCCCAGGCGGAAGCTGCAATGTCCTTAATACCATCATTCTGCATTACCTGTGGTAACACAGGTCCTCTCTGTTAGGTGTGAAATGGGGCTACACATGTGTGAACGCTGGTGTGAAGCTCATTGGGTGCCATTTGGAGGCCACAGCAGGGTTAAATGGGACTCTGGAAGGGAGAGGGAACATGGCTTTAGAAGAACCTGTTAATGGTTTCCAAATATGTTATTTTTTTCTTCTTCTTCTTCTTATTTAAACTTTAAAATTTTTTTTTCTTTTTTAGATGGAGTCTCGCTCTGTCGCCCAGGCTGTAGTGCAGTGGCACGATCTCAGCTCACTGCAAGTTCCACCTCCCAGGTTCAAGCGATTCTTCTGCCTCAGCCTCCTGTATAGCTAGGATTACAGGCATGCACCACCACACCGGGCTAATTTTTGTATTTTTAGTAGAGATGGGGTTTCACCATGTTGGCCAGGTTGGTCTTGAACTGCTGACCTCAGGTGATCCACCCTCCTCAGCCTCCCAAAGTGCTGGGATTACAGGGGTGAGCCACTGCGCCAGGCCTATTTTTCTTACTGTTTTTTTTTTTTTTAAAGCAGGATTCTTTGATCAAAAACCTTGTTATCAGAATCACAGTTTATATCCAAATGAAAATACAGCCATCCTAGCTCAAGCCATGATGGGCTGAGGCTACCCTCCCCACGCCCTGCCTTCTCTATCACCCCCAATCAAGTGGTCTCGGAGACATCTTCACTGGAGGAAGACTTCAGCCCGCAGGGTAGGAGGAAACGGCGCCTGCTTGACCGCTGGGACCCTGTCCATTAGGAACAGTTTTTGGAAAGCCATTTGGCAATATTTATCAAGATCTAAAACACACATGTCCTTTGGCCCATCAGTTTTACTTCCAGGAATTCATGTAACACAGATGCTTGCATCAGTTTACAGAGATGCCAGCACAAGCATGTTCAGTCCAGAGTCTAATGGCAAAATTTTGGAAACATTTAAGTGTCCATTGATAAAGGACTGCTGAAGTGAGTGAGAGGACTGCCAGACAAGGGGATACTAGGCACTTCTTTAACAAAGGCACTTGAATTGACATGGAAATGTTTATCGCCCCATAAACAAAGCGAGCTGCAAAACACCACTTCAAGTTTCATCCTGTTTTTGCCAAAAAGAAAAAAAAGATACTCACAGATATACTTGGGTCCTAGAAGGTTTCTGCGCAGTGGTAACATGGTTTCCCTTTGGAAAGCAGGAAGGTGTAGTTGGTGAAGGAATCAAGAGGTTTTAATTTTTAAATTTACATCACTCAATATTTTTAAACTGCTTTCAACCATTTTGTGATGAATCACTTTTTTGTGTTGAGATACAATTCACATACCATAACATTCACCACTTTAAAGTTTACAATGCAGCAGTTCTTAGTATCATCACGACACTGTGCACCGGTCACCACCGCTCTTGGGACCGCAGCAGCACAGGTGCCCTTGCTCTAAGCCCTCTCGCCCCAGCAGCCTCGGGCCCTACCCCTGTTCCAGTGCTCTTCCCATCTGCCTTCCACCTTTCCTGACTCCCTGCCCCTCTGCATGCGCTTCCTCCTACCTCTTAGCACCTCATGGCTGACAGATGCCTTGGTCCCTCTGCAGGGGTCCCTCCCCCTCTAGAAACTGAGCCCCAAGCACTTGTTTGCTTCCTGCAATCTCTCTGGCATCTGGAACAGCATCTTGTTGCCGAGACTGCTGTGAAGATCAGCATCTGTTGACTTGGTGAACTGGATGGCCCTTTGCCCTGAACACCCATTCCACATTTCCAAGTGCCTGCCAGATGTTTCTTTCTGTATGATTGGCCAGCACCCTTAATCAGCATGTTCACAAAACAAACACACACAACAAACCCTCACCGTATCCCACTCACGTTTTCAGGCCCAGCCCCAGGTGGAGGAGGGAGCGGAAGGTCTCCTGCGATTGCCTTCCCCATCCATCCTACACCACGCGCACAAACATGCTTGCATCCTTAATTCCAGGCTTCCAGAGACTGGCCTGATGTACCACCAAACAAACCCAGAGAGAGACAAGGGACACTGCCATGTGTGGACCTGACGCATGCAGGGAGATTGCACGCTGCTGGCAAATCCCACAAAACACGTAATTAAATCGCTAAACCTGTGAGGCTCAACAGTCTTAAATGGGTCTGACTCACGCTGGTGCCCGTTTGCAGCATCATAGCAGAAAATGTACTTGAGGAAACAGAGGAAAAAAGACTGAGAACAAAATAAAATGTCAGTGAAATGAAATGTCAGATGTGCCTTTCCTTATTCATCTTCCAACCAGAAAGACCCCAGCAGGGCCAACTGATCACTCATATGGTTTTAG